ATTAGGAAAAAAATATTGAGGTTCAGGAGAATGACCAAATGCCTGAAGCTGAGACTGGAACTGACATATGAAGGCTGCCAGCTGAAACCTGACATCAGTCAGCAAACAGGACTGACTGTGGGGCCACACAGCCTGGGGCACAGCACTCACACTCACCACCTCCAGGGGATGGGACCTGACCTCTGCTGTCACAACCAGGAGCTCTGAGCGGTGTACAAACTACCCCACCACATATGGGGAGTCTGCTGGTCATGAAGACCACAGGGAACAGTGCCTGGGTCCAGATAGGACACCACCCTGAAGCAACAAAGGTGTTCTGCTCCCTCAGACCTTGCTGCTGGCTCTGGTGAAACACCAGCGCTCTGGGCTTGAGTGCCACAGGCAGCTAGCATTAGAGGGAAACAGCCCGGCAGAGGCTGCGCCTGACAAGGAACAATTCACAGGCCTGAGGCCATCAGTGAGCAAGCAGCAAACCAGAGGCAGAAAGGCTGCCCCCGGCACAGGGAGAGAGCAGGGCCCCGCAGCAAGGTCCTATGGCGCTTTGCCGAGTGGCAGGGCTGGGAGGAGTGTGACATCCTCCCCGCAGGCCAGGACCTAGTCTCTTGCTCCTCCTGCCTCCTGCAATGCCCTTGACCCAGCTGGGGTGTGAAGAAGGTGCCACCTACATGGCGTTGGTGGTGACCAGCAGGTCAGCGTTGTCAAAGAGCGTGACACCAGGCACCTCAATGACCAGCACGTAGATGAGCTCGATGGCCAGCATGAGCACCAGCTTCCCGATGCAGCTGATCTGCAGGAACACGGAGCAGGCCAGCAGGCTGAGCAGCACACTGTAGGTGAAGTACTGCAGGGAGAGGGCAGGCGTCAGCCCCGCCCAGCCCGCCTCTCCCCAGCCTGAGGGACCTCGGTGAAAGCGCTCAGGTTTCTGCTGAGGGACACTGTCAACAGGTGTGAAGCAATGCAAAGAGCCTGGTTAGGAACCAGGGGACAAGATCCAGTCTGAAGTAAGCCTACAGCTCAGGCTGGTGGGGTTCATCCCTGCTCCCCGCTGCACTGGCCATGTGCCTTGGATCATTTCCTTGGCTCCACCAGCCCTGTCCCTCAGGCTCGTGGGCCCCATCACACAAGACGGAGCCTCTCGGCACTGTGCCTGACACCCTCATAACCCGATTTGCAATTCTGAAATCCACAGCTCTAAAGACTGACTGTTCTCACAGTTCACCCGATGGCACCTGAACTGACCTGATTTGGTGACAGACTTGTCCTAGCTGATGTGACGCTAATGGCAGTCTTTATCTGGCTTCCTGTGACTATCCACAATGTGGCTACAGAAATGTTAGTGTTTCACGATGAGCTTCTGCCCTAGACTCTTCTGGAGGTCAAGGCAACCTTTTAAAATCTGAAAATTCTGCAGTCTAAACTACATTGGCAAATGGGAAGGGGAACAAGGGAGGGAGGAAGGGGAGGGAAGGAAGGGAAAAGGGAAAAGAAAGAATGGAAGGCAAAAATGGAAACAAGCTTTTTGTAAATGGGGAGGGGAATGGGGAAAAAAGAAATATTAAGATATGTACAGGTACAAATTCCCTATGATGAATGGGATCATTATGTATGGCAAATATATACTAATAAAAATAATTTTTAAAAATTACATTGGGCCTCAAAGGGTTCAGATGAGACTGAAGCCTTGTACCGTCTACCTTGGGAAGCTTCCTGTTTCCTTCTTAGACAAGTGAGGGGCTGAATCAGCTGAGCCCTCCTGCCATGGTCCCCTGGAGTTACTCCTAGACGTGTCACCACCTCTTATTCTATTCTTTCTTTTAAATTTAAAGCCTTGGTTTCTGAGTCAGGCTTCTAAACTACTTCCACACTGCCTCTGGCTTGGGCAGGCAAGTGGGGGTAGTCCCAGGTTGGACCTGCCCAGGTCTTCAGGAGTCTAGTGATGGACTTGAGGGTGCCCTGAGCCTCAAGTCACCACCAAGACCTGGGGCAGAGGAAGGAGAGGGCCCCACTTCAGACCCTAGGCCTGGGCAGGGAGGAGGCCATGGCTTAATGCTGGGGTCACCCAAGGCCTGGGTCAGCCCATGTGAGACGGGGCAGCCTGAGCTCTGCAGCCCACAGGGCCCAGGGCAGTGGGAGGGAACTGGGCAGGTGGGGAGGGCCCAGGATGAGCCCAACCACCTCGCCCAAGTAGAGTGGGAACAACCCCACTGCCCTCTCCCCCGGGCCCAGCTTCTGTGGGGCACCCACCCTCCGAAGGGCTGACATGAGACCAAGCAGGCTCTGCTCCACAGCAAACAGCCCTCAGAAAGCAGAAGCCAGATGAGGACATGGAAGCTGCTCCCTAGGTGGCCAGGGGCTCAACCCACAGAGAGGGAGAGCGGCCACGCATGGCCCAGGCACAGGAGGAGCACCTGTCTGGAGCCAGTGCCCTGCTCCTCACCTGGCTTCCCTTGCCCTCCTGTAGGGGAGGGAGGCTGTGTGCTGAGACTGCACAGGGGGCCTGGATGAGGCCAGAAACTCTCCCCAGGACAGGGCAATGCTGCCTTCAGCTTTGGAGATTCACAAGAGGCCCTCCAGGGAGCTGGGGCAAGGGAGCAGCCCCCACTCAGAGCTGACACAGGCTGGATGGCCTGCCCTGCTGGGTGCTCCCAGCCGCTAAGGCACACCATCCTCTCATTAAGGGCTCTCCTTAGATGCCTGCAGGTATAAAATGTCTCTTTTGAGGTGGTGAAAGTGCTCTAAAGAGGATGTCTGTGCAAACCTGTGAACTCACTAAAAACAACTGTGTGTACATTTTGAACACAAAGTTTACAGTAGTCCTGGCCTGGGACTGGCTTCCCTTTGCTCCCCTTCCTACTCGCTGACCCTAACAGGTGGGGTTTGAGTGGGCTCTCTGGAGCAGGGTCAGGTCTGCTGAAGAGCAGAGGGTCCTAGATGTTTTGCTCTCGGGGTAGAGGCATGAACTCAAGCCAGATGACTTGCATGAGGGCTCTGGCTCTGTAGCTCACTGGCTGTGTGACCTCGGGCAAGATGCTTGACCTCTGTCCATCAGGTTCTTCATCTCTATGCATGGATGAAGCAGTATGTGTGTCCCAGGGCTGTTGTGAGATCTGCTGAGTAGCAGTGCCAAGCACCTGGTGAGCTCTGACTATCTGAATAAGAGCCACGTCAGCGTTAGGGGCTGTGGCCCCGAGGAGGCTGCATGGTGGGTGCTGGCGCTGAGGAAGGAGCCAGGGAAGAGTGGGGAAGGGCAGGAGGCTGGTCCAGCCCATACCTCGGGGAAATTGCAGTTGGGCCAGAGGCTGCCGCAGAAGCCCCGCTCGTCGGCCAGGCTGTAGTTGAAGGCCGACTCTGCCACATGGCACGCGTTGACCTGGCCGGCGCTGATGTTGTGCTCCTCTGCCAGGCAGCCCACCAGGTCCTCGGCATTGCAGGTGAACTGGGCAGGCAAGAGGGCGGTGAGGCTGAGTCAGCCCAGGGGCCAGGCAGGGGCAGCAGGTGCCCATCCATCCCCGTTTCAGGTAGAGCCACACAGACAAGGGACAAAGGAGGAGCCTGGCAGGGGCTGCAGACCCAGCATGGTTTGCCCAGGTCCTGTGTGGCTTCCTGGGACAGGACCCGTTAAGCCTGCCTCAGGAACACCCCATCCTCTTTCGAGCCCTTCTGGCCTTGAGAGTAGGGAGCCCCCGTCAGATCGGATACCCTGCAGTGAGGCACCCACTGCAGTTTCCAGGGAACCCTCCCCTACTCCCCACCTGTGGAGCACAGGGCTCACTGTTTTTGATCCTATGGGGTCGGGGAGGTGCCAGGAGCACAGAGTCACCTACCATGTTGACAAAAGACGACAAGAACACCAGGGTAATGGTGAACACCCCGACCAGCGTGCTGTTCATCTTGGACCGCACGATCTTCCTGGAGAGGATCTGCAGGGGGCTGGGGAAGAGCTGGGGGAGAGGTGACCTCATTTACTGAGGCCCTACAGTGTCCCCAGCATCATCCCTTGGGCCTATCTGAACTCCTCCAGGCCTGCAAGGCTCCAGCCCCATGGCAGCCTGACTGCAGCCGGCCAGGAGTGGGTGCCCCACGCCCCCAGGGCAAGGGGCAGGGAAGTGGCTGGAAGAGCTCATTCACCCACTGTGTGAGTCCAGGGCCTGGGGTACCGTCAGGCAGCTGGGCAGCTGGGGAGCCATGGAGGGGAGGACAAGAGGTTCCCTAGAAGGAGGGGACGTGGAGAGGACTAGTGTCTGGAGGGAGAGGCTGGGTTTGTAAAGGGGCAGAGCAGCAGCAGCAGGAGGGAGTGAGGCCTGGACACAAGCACTGTGCAGAGCTCCAGGGCCTACCATTTCCCTTCCCGGCCCTACTCTGTGCTCTTCACCCAGACACACCATGTATCCCCTCAAAGACCCACTATGGCGTGGTTAATTCAACATCCACCTCCTAAGCCCCACTTTCACCATCCAATCTGACACAGCTGGCCTTGTATCCAGATCCTCCTCATCTCCCATGCAACGCAGGCTAACAATGAGGAGGGACAGAGAAGCAAGCAGGGCACATGGTCCCCTTTACCCCGCCTACCCTGCCCTATGTGCTGAGTCCTGTCTGCTGCAGACCTCCTGGTGTCCCAGAGGGTGGTAGAAAAGACACGAGAGCAGGAGACAGGAAGCCTGTGTTCTAGGCTTGCCTCTTCCTGTGTGCCTGGGAGCAAGCCACATCCCCCTCTGAAGGCTCCTCATCTGTAGGAGCACCCTTCGCTTTTATGATCAGTGAAACAGGCAAGGGCCTCTTCCAGTCATGGGCCCCAGGCCTCCCTGCATATCTTGCTAAGTGTCCCAGACCACAAGGCCTACCCACCCCTTATGCTGAGTTTCTGCAGTTGGTCACACAGATGACAAAGTAGGTCAAGGGACCACAGCATGACCACATGGCTGCTCACTCTTGTGGGGAGAGCACTAGCTGTGCACTGCAGTGTTTGATGCCAACTCAAGAAGTTCCTGGGCCACAAGCCAACACTGCTACCCCACAGCATCCACGAAGACCATCATGCTGTCCCCACGGCACTTTAGGGGTGTTATGGCTTAGACCTAACAGGCCTTCCTCAAGCTTCCTGTGTTCAGAGGTGTGGCCACATCAGAAGAGGTGGGTTGCTGCAAGGGTGTATTGTTGTCCCTGCCTCCTCCCTTCTCTCTCTACTTTCAGGTCACCATGAGTTGAGCAGCTTTCCTCCACCACACCCTTCTACCATGTCATGTCATTTCTGCCCTATAGCCAGCTGACCACACACTGAACCCTCTAAAACCATGACCCAAAATAAAGTCGTGGGTGTCGGGTATTTTGTCCCGGTGACAGGAAAGTTACTAATCCAAGGGCAAAGGAACCAGTACAAATATGTTGATGCCCATGGCTGTGCCATGAGTAATAAACTTTGTCATTATTTGGTGGGTGGGGTACTAGAGATTGAGTATTGAGCTACTTCTCCAGTCCTTTTAAAATTATTTATTTTTATTTTGAGACAGGCTCTCACTAAGTCACTGAGCTGCTCAGGATGGGCTCAAATTCATGATCCTCTTGCTTCAGTTTCCCAGAGTACAGACATTACAGACATGCACTACCACATCTGACTTTTAAGTTTTTATCTCTGACCAAGGAGTCTCGTGTCTTCTGCCAGCACCTATGAAATGTAACAAGCTAACTCATTAGACTGTAAGGAGAATAAAATCAAACTTCAGACCCTTCACAGTTCCTGACAACAAGGATAGGTCCTGCTCACCCTTGGTCTTGTGGTATGTGTAGAGAAACAGTACATATCTTTCCCACCTCAGAATCCTCCCTACCTTCCCATCAAGGCCACTCCCTATGCAGCAGAGGGAAAGAGGGGACTACAGGAGGATGAACCACAGGAAGGGCTGAAATCCCAGCAGGGGCCTGACAGCCAGACAAGGTTACAAAAGAAGGCCTTGGCTCCCACCTCCCCAGCATAGCACTTCCCTTTGGGATAATAAAGGAGGCACTCTGACTGAACCCTCTTCTATGGCAGAAAGAAAGATAGGTATGAGATTTGTAGAGCCTAAACTTACATAGAGATAAACTGAATAGACTGAGTCCAGAAATGAATACCTATACTTAAGATCAGTTGATTTTGACAAGGCTGCCAAGACAATCAATAGAGAAGAAGTTTTCAACAAATGATGCCAGGACAAATGGATATCCACTTGCAAAAGAATGGAGTTGGGTCCCTACTTTACACCACATATAAAAATTAACTCAGACCAGAGACCTAGATGCTAGTTTTAAAACTACAAAACCTTTAAAAGAAGACATATAGGGCCGGGGATTTAGCTCAGTGGTTCTGCCTCCTGCCTTGCAAGTGCAAGGCCCCAGGTTTGATCCCCAGTACCAAAAAATAAAAATAAAAGAAGACATATAAGTAGAACTCTGTGACCTTGGATTAGGCCATGATTTCTTAGAGATGTCATCAGAAGCACAGGCAAAAATGAAAATAATAAATTGGACTTCATCAAAATTTAAAAATTTTTGTGCAATAGGAATAACAAGAACTTGAAAAAGTAATGAAGATATGGAGAAATTGAAACCCTTGTGCATTGCTGCTGGGAATGTAAAATAGTGGCTCCTGTGGAAGAGCAATGGCTTCTCAAAATATAAAACAATTTTTTATATAAAACAGATTTTCATATTATCCAGGAACTCCACTTCTGGGTATATAGCCAAAATAAGTGAAAGCGGGGACTTGTACCCATGTTCACAGCAGCATTATTCGTAATAACCTGAAAGTGGGACTACTCAAATACCTATCAGTTGAGAAAGGGATAAACAAAATGTGACACAGCCACACAATGGGGTGTCCCTGAATCACGAAAAGGAAGGAAGAGATGCTACATGCTACAGCGTGGACAAACTTGGCAAAACGAAAGAAGCCAGCCTCGAAGTCCACACATTGTATGCTTCCACTTAGATGGGACGTCCAGAACATGGGATTCATAGACAGAAAGTAGATTAATGGTTGTCAGTGCTACTAATGAACATGGGTGTTTCTTCTGGGGGACAATACTCTGGAATTAGATAGCAGCAATAGTTATACAACTTTGTGAATACGCTAAACACTAGTGAATTACAAGTTCATCCACCTTTATAAAGATGATTTTTATAGTGTAAATTATCTCTCAATGAAGTTTTTATTTTTTAAAAAAATCCTGCTCAGCCTCTTATTAGTTGCGTGATCCTGGGACATTATTAACTTCTCTTAGTTTCAGCTTCCTTATTAGTAAATAGGGAATATCTATCTCCTTGAGTGGCTATGAAGACCCAGTGAAATGGCTCGTTTAAAGGTGCTTTGCAAGCTGCTAAATGCAATAGGAAAGTTCATTAATATTTCTCTATTTCCCTCATGGCTCTGGTGACTAAACTCAGAGCCTCCCATGGGCCTGGCCCTAATATTTGCATTTTAAAAAACTGTGCCACTAATAAAAATGAAAGTCCTTGTTTCCCATTCAGGGAATCGTGTGTTCCCTAGATGGAGAAAGCGTTCAGGCACGAGTTGAGGATCTCACTCGGAAATAATGTGGAATAGCAGATGGTTTACCACTTTTGGCTGTTTAAGTTTGCCATTCCATTCCCCTCTTCCCCCGTTGCTCTAACTTCGGTTTCAGTTCTGAGCCCCCCACCCACCGACTGAAAGGCTTCCTTCATGTTTCACAATCACCAAGGTGATGGCTGCGCTAGTGAAGGCTAGCAAATGGTAGAACACTCTCGATAAAAGGCGGCTGGGGAAGCCACCTAGTGAATGCGGGGCCACCTAGAGGCCAGGAGAAGAATGCAGGCTACTAAGAAATGAACGTTAGATGGCGCTCTAGCACCTGATGCACGGCTGAGTCATCTTTGTGCCTTGACTTCCCTTGGCATCCTTCAAAGGTTTCCTCTTGCCTTCTAAACCCCGAGTTAGGAGTTCAAGAACTGAAGCCCAGAGGAGACTGGACATCTTGCCCTGGAACTGGTTTACAGAGATCTCAGCTCCTGTAATCACGAAGTTCACCTGTATGCCCAAATCCCAACCCTGCTGAGCCCAGTCTGGATTTGAAAACTCGTTCCTGGGGCAGTCTCTTTACAGGGCTCACCACAGCGGCAGTCAGATCCTAGACTGCACCGTTCAGCAGTCACTTAATGTCTGCTCACAATCAGAGCTCGGGAAAAAGAATCTATTAAAAAAGAGTTCCGAAGCAATACATTCCTAAACAATTGATTCAAATCCATTCACCTTCATACGTGGGAGTGGGGACATAATTAATAAGGCATAACGAGGCAGGGGACAGTTCAGATCCTGGCTTCTCTGTGTGTCTCCAGGCAACAAGATGGTCTCTCTGGGGTCCTGTCTGGGAGACAGGGCCAGGGGACCTCAGGGATGAAAGAAGGTGATGAAATGGGATGACAAAAAAATTTGAGAAAACAGCTTCTTTGACAAGGAGTTAACAAAAGCAGTAGTTCCTATTTCAGGGGGAAAAAAATAAAGATATGAAAACCTCAGAAGCCAAACAAGGTAGACAAAAGGGCTGTGCAGCACTGTTCTTTTTTTTTTGGTGCCAGGGATCAAATTCAGGTCCTTGCACTTGCGCAGCAGGCAGCAAAACCACTGAGCTAAATCCCCGGCCCAGCACTGTTCTTATCACCTAGACTTTCAGAAGTCAACTGGACCTATTAACAAAGGCAGCGTCCTGGAGGACAGGGATCATGGGCTCTGAAGTTTCAAACTGCCTGAGTTTATCCTTTGCATGTGCATACGTGCCTATGTGTGTGTGTGTGTGTGTGTGTGTGTGTGTGTGTGTTGCTGGGGATCAAATCCAGGCCCTCATGCATGCCAGGCAAATGCTGTATTACTAAGGTACGCTCTCGGTCCTAAGAGCCACATGGTTTAAATCCCTTCCTAGCTGTAGGCCCTAGGGAAAGCGGCCCTGCCTCTCTCGGTATCAGTTTCCTCATCTGCACGGTGGATCTAGTAAGTCACCCTAGACTTGAGGCTCAGGACACAGCTCTAAGTGGCTAAGCTGGAATCTGCAGTTGAGGCTAACTCCAAAGCCACAGGAGGAGCCTATGACATCTCCCGGACAAAGAGTTCTGAGCCTGGTAAAGACGCACATGGCAACAGTATGTTCTTTCCCTAAGAAACACCACTTGCTCCTGAGCATGCTGGGCAAGGTGAGTGTGGTCCTCAAGGACTCAGAGATGGCAGGCACCACGCCAGGCAGGTACCAAGGAGGCAAAAGGTGCTGGCTGGGCAGTGAGGCCCTCATTTAGAAACTGCACAGAAGCCTGGCAGAGAGGTGGACAGGAGGGTCAGCAAAGTGGACCTGGCTATATTCAGACTTGGGGAGAGGGGAGGAGGTGCTTCCAGTGACTGCACAGAACAGACAGGGCCTAGGAGAGGCTCTGGTCACAGGTCCCAGCGGCACAGTCAGTGGGACAGACCAAGAGCAACCAGGAGGAAGCCTGGAGGATGAGGGAATTTAAACACACAAGCTGCTGTTCAGGTGCTCACAGCAGACCCTACAAAGAGGCTGTGCTGTGCGGGAGGTGCTGAGAAGCCACAGGGAGAGCAGAGGTCTGGTTCAGTGAAGAAAGGAGGCCGCTCTCTTCTGCCCAAAGGCTAGGGACAGGCTGGGTCACTTCCCAGGATGATGGGCAGACAGGGAGGCTGAGGGAACAGCTGGAGCTGGCCAAAAAGGGAAGGGGCTGCACGCAGGAGATGTGGGCAAGCTCGCTGTCCCGGGAGCGGACCATGCACAGGATGGCTCACTCTCTGCGGGGTTAAAATAAGGGATTCCAGCTTCAGTTAGCTGGCTCAGCTCCTTCCATTCTGATATTCTCTGAATCTGTGGACCACACGTAAGGTGAGGAGGATTTATCATGGTTTTCTCCAAGAAAAGTGGCTGTAGGGCCCGGGGAGCACAGATGTCAAGGGAGGGCAGGAGCTGGTGCAGATTCCACTTGCCTCTAAGATGGCACCAGCAGAAGGAAGGACTCAGGGGACAACCTGCAGTCAAGGCAGCCTAGGGACAATAGGGCTCAAAAGGTAGCTGATGCTCTGAGAAGTGAGACCAGACTTGGGGACAAGATGAAGGCCTAGGCAACGAACTGACCTCCCCAAGAAACCTAGGCGTGCATGTGCACTGCATGGAGCTAGGGCAGGAAAGGATTCTGGAGGCCTGGGATGGAAGGGCAATCAAAGCACTTGGAAAGAGGAGAAAACCCCACAGAGAGGATGGGGAACTGCTCCCTGGCACAGGGAAGTCCACACTGTGCTCACACATCTGTGCAAAGGTTAAGACTTTGAAGGAAGTGAGCCCAGTTGAAGGAAGTGAGCCCAAGCTGTTGGCACAAAGGGAGAAGCAAGTGAAACAAGAGAAAGAAACTGCCTGACAACCACCTGACTTTAGAAGAGCAAAGCCCATACTGGAGTAGGTGAGGAATCTTTGTACTTCATAGGAACACTGTGACTTCTCAACAAGGGTGGAAATAAGATGGAAAATTCCAAGAGTTCTCGTAAAGGGTAAATATTTTACAAAGGGAAATTTAAAACTGAAGTTCAGTCAGCTTCATGTCAGCACCTGACAAGGTGACACAGCAAGCCATAGTCCATCAACCGGCAGTGAGTGTGGGACAGAGCTCAGTGACAGGCTAGGCCTGCACCCAGGAAAATGGCGGGTTAATTAATATTCCTGCTGCATTCATGCCCAAGGCAGACTCCCCCTACTCACATCTTAATGTGCAAAAAGTTTAGCCCACAAAATGAAAGAGGAAGAAGAATTACACAGAAAAGAACTTCATATTACAAACAACTTCCGGTTGGGTTCTGCGTTCGTAGGTGGCTAATCAGAGGCTGGGCAGGAAGGAGGCAGCAAGGACTAGCTCTGAATGAGTGCTGGGAGAGAGGAGGCTCAGCAGAAGCTGGAGAGTACACTTCTCCTGCAGGGCCAGAGAGCTTCCTGGGGCCAGGATGGCCCCGCTAGGGAACCCTCAACCCTTGATGAAGGAACGAGAGAAAGCCTGGGTGAGCAGGGCCAATGGGAACCTGAGTGATTTCTGCACCAGATGACAATGGCCTAAGGTCAAGTCCCACCCAGGGACACAGCCTGGACAGGGGCACAGCACTCCTAAGAGATGGTGTGGGAAGAAAACCTAGAACGGGAGCCAAGCTCCTGGCTCTGAACTCATGCTGCCAACCTGAGCCAGCTGTGGGATGCATCTGAAGCTCTGAGCCATCTGGGGCCGCACTGTTCATCTGTATGACACCCCCCCACCCAGTTCCTGGTCTTGGGAGCCACTGCAAGACAAATTCCAGGGCACCTGGGAAGGAAAGGTCTCTCCCACACTCCTTCCTTCAGCAAATGCTTCCCGACGGCTGCTCTGTGCCAAGCTCTGTGCTGGGTGCCCTCCCGTCATCCCACCTGATGCTGAGGGCTTGTACAAAAGCAATGGGACAGCAACTTCTTGCAAAGATTCCCAGGGCCAACTGAGGCTGCCAACACCAGCCAGAACAGCTTGCTGCCATTGCCACCCAAGAGCTGTGGCCCGGTATTGTCGCAAGTATGCTATTTGGGCCGGGGGCAGCTGGACTCACCTTCACACAGGAGTAGATCATGGACACAAACACCACCAAGGCCAGCAGTAGGAAACAGGTCAGGTAGAAACTCAGCATGAACATGGAGCTGGGGGAAGAGAGGGGAGGGGAAGTCACAGGTCCACTGTAAGTCCCTAGGTCTGTTTCCCCAGCCAGGCAGGACCGGGACACAAACAGCCCTGGGAGGGAACCTGAAGTTGCTCCATTTCCCAAACCCACTGCTCAGTTCTCCCCCCCGGATCCCCGGGAGGGGCCTCAAGGGTCCCCTGAGCCCTGCCCAGTGCCAGTCTGCTCCTGCCATTCCTACCCTCCTGTCACCTTGCTGAGGGGAACCGCAGACCACAGGGAGCCAGATGGAGAAGCAGATGACCCCTGACCAATATTTTGCCCTACTCTCAGCTGTTCACATGAGGGCTTCATTTAGCCTGGAAGAACCCATTTAAAAATCACCTCGTTGTTCCTTCCACGTTGTCACTCATGCTGCGATAAATAACCTCACCGACTGAAAATGGATCTGATAAAGGGCCTTAATGAGCAGCAGTGCATGTCAGCAGCCCGCTGGCCACTCTGAGAAACAGGGGTGATGTGTACATTTCAGAAAGAGTCCCTGACCTCTGTCCCTTTTCTCCCACCAGGTCCCACTGCGAGTCCTGCTCAGTTTTTGCTCCCTGCTCCCAGGCAGTTCAGTAAGAAAAGTGCAGTCTCCTCGAGCTGCCTTGGGAGGCAGATCACAGCGCTGTGGGCAGAATCCTTAGACAAAGGAGCTGCAGCTGACTTTCCTCCTGGAGCTTTCCCTTGCCCTCCTGTGGTGGGGGCTGGTGGGGGGCAGCACACCCCACCAGGCCACCAAGGGTGGAGAACAGCCCGGAGGTGCCAGGTGTTGGTTGGTGGCTTTGCCAGCAGAGCCCAGGGCAAGAGGGGACACCCTGGGAGGACTAACACAGCACCTTTGTTCCAGCTTCCAGAGGCGCGCACTTAGCTGCCTTCAACAAATGGACAAGAGAAAAGAATCCTCTTCAGAGGAAAAGAAAGACTTTCAAAGGGCCCTTTAAAGCTTCCTAGAGAGGGACAGCTAGAGAACAACCTCTGTCCACGTTGTAGCCACATGGAGTGGTGCTAAGTGGGCATGGAGCTACCACAGACACAGGAGGGAGCTGGGATGGCCAGGCTCCAAGCCAGGCTGCAGAAAAGACACAGCAGCAGAGGCAGGATTACATCCCAAGCTAAGGGACTGTCCGCTGAAACAGGACAAAGCCAGGTTGCTTGTTGATCCCTGAGGCTCCCTTTCAATTCAGAAAAATGTGTCAATTAGGATCCACCAGCTCTGCACAGCCTCTTGCAACCAGGATGCAGCCAGTCTGCTTATTACCTGTGGTGCCCTGACAGTCGCAGCAGACCAGAATCCAAGGGGCATCTTTTCAACAGTAAGTGTCGTAAACATAGAAGGCATTAAGAGGCAAGGCCGGCTGGCATCATGTACCTCCTGGTACTAAAGCACACGACCCCGGTCTGATCAGATCAGACTCACCCAAACTGAAACACTGTACAGGTAAACTGGCCAGAAGCCATCAAAAGTGCCAAGGTCATAAAAGGCCTGAAAAGCCCAAGGAACTATCAGAGACTGGAAGGGACAAAGGAGATACAACAACTAAATGCAGTGTGGGATTTCAGACAGTGCGGTTCTTGCGACAAAACAGGACATTGGCAGGGAAGCTGAGAAAATGAGAATACAATCTATGGATTAGTGAGCGATGTCATTTCTGGACGAATTTCTAGACTTTGATCACTATACCGCATTAGGGAAGTTTTGAACACTGGAAACCAGACAAAAGACATACAGAAATTCTGACTACTTCTGCAACTTCTCAGTATCTCTACAAGTATTTTGAAAGGAAAAAACAGAAGGTTTTGGGTGTGAGCACTCTTTAGATTAAGCAAGACTTTCAAGAACTAACCACATGCAACCAGAGTAGATCCTGGCGCTGAAAAAGCCAAGAATAGAGGACATTTGGGGGACCACTCTGGACATTTGAATAAGGACTGAGTGTTAAATAATAGTAGGGAAATGATATGAATTTTATTCGGTGTACATTGTAGTGAAGAAGGAAAATGTCTATTGAGGTTTTTAGGGACAAAATGTCCTTAAATTTTCCCTAAAAAATAAAAAAGATAAATATTGCAAAATATTAACTACTATTATATCTACATTGAATATATTACTTTTCTGTATGTCTGAATGATTTCATAATAAAAAGTAAAAACATATTTACATACATATACCGGCATATATGTCGATATACACACACACACACACACACACACACACACCGGCACACACACGTATGCATATGCGTACATAGGTCAGCTAGGTTCCTCTCCCAGGCGTGACTCCATCGTGAATGACTATTTACTCGACTTCATTCTCAAAAGCCTACTGCCACTTCAAAGTGGTCTCTGCCGAGACAGAGCCGGTCATCAGTAGAGCTCAGCCATGCTTCTTTGTGAAAAGCCTTCAGAATCTGAAATCCGTTCTTTGAAATGCCCATAGCAGTGAAAACCTTCATCTTTTGAAGATGTATTGATTGGGGGCCAAAGGTCACACAGAAGCCGGCCACACAGAAATGGTGTGATTCAGTCGGGCAGCGAGGTGTGCGTCACAAGCCATGAGATGAAGCAGTGAACGGGGCTGAGGGAACATTCTCCTCCCCGCCCCCAACAGGTCAGACCCCTGGCTTGCTAGTTCCACCAAGGACACCTGAGGAAACCTCTCTCCCTGCCTTTTCTACTCCCCTAAATGACCACTCCAACCCTGCATGCAGAGGAGGGAGCCCAGGAGGGGTGGGGATACTTACTGGGGCACAATGGTGATCTGGACAAAGCAGATGAAAAGGAAGACGAGTGAGGCACAGGCCACATAGGCACCGAAGCGGTCATCCACCTGCTTGGAGTACTGAGAGGAGACACCATGGTGAGGGGCAGGGGATGGGGGTCTGCTCACGGAGTCAGTCTCACTCAGGGCAGTCCACTTAGCACAGGGAAGCCCCAAGAACCAGAGCAGGCTTCAGGTCCCAAGACACCAGTCCAAATCCCTGGAAGGTGGTGCATGGGGCAGGTAGCAGAGAAGGACTTGGACTGGTGTCAAACCAGAAACTATGCAGGCCAAGCCACGGCCAGGGTAATTCATAATGACCCGACTATCTATACCCTCCCCAGCATACTCAGGACACCAGAAGCACGCACAGGGTTGCGTTACTTCTGCTTCTGAGATGAGCAGGTGGTGCTCAGAGAGGGCCACCATGGTCCTCACTGTCAGCCCCAGCTCCTCCCATGCTGCCAAGCAGCCTCGCTCATGGAGGTCGGTGCCCATGTAGTCACCCAGGGCAGGCAGCACTTGGTCAGGTCTTCTTACTTCCCTTTCACTGTCTGCCCCGTTAACCAAGCATGCCCTGCTTGATGCCCACAGGCATCACCCTAGCCCACCTGAACTGAGCGCTGGAGACCTGTGACATGGTGCAAAGGGCAATGTCCAGGCCAGTGCCAGCTCTGTCATCACTCCTTGGGTGGCCCAGTGGAAATCTCCCAACATCAAGGAGCCTAAGCTTCCCATTCACTAGAACTTTAAAAAGAGGGGAGTGACAGATCTTAGTGGGGGTGCCGGGGTGCCCCAGCAGCAATGGTAACAGCAATAATAATAATAATAACAGTAACAGTGATCAGCAGTTATCGATGCCCTCTGTGTGGTGGACACCTTTTCACATCCTATACAAAGCAAATTCATTTAATCCTCACTCTGCTCCCCAGGTGGGTGTGTTAAATGGCCCTGTTTTCTCCATAGGAAACCAAGGGCAGAGAGGCCAAGATGTATCCCTTCTAACCAAGGAAGTCTCCCTAGGACCTCCATCTTCAGGGCAGCGCAGCACTGTGTGTGGAGAAACTGAGGCAAGCAGAGGCACCTCCCTGTTGCCCACACCCAATCCCTCATACCTTCTTCTCTAAGTCTGGCTCCCGGAAGGTCAGAAGGAACTTTCGGACGTGCTCAGACCGCAGCCGGTCAATGCTCCTGGCATCAATCGCCCGGCCCAGGAACTCGTCCACTTCATCCTCAGGGTTTACACTCTCCTGGGCATTCCTGCAGAACAGGGGCACATGCTCAGGGGCACTGACCACCAGGGCAAGAGGCCGAGCAGCCATCAAGTCAACCTTGGCCGGGGGGAGGGGGAATAGGGGCTGGGACCAAGTGGACCAGACCAGAAGCCCTCAGCCTACATCTGTTTTCACCCGTGACACTGGGGATTGAGTCCAGGGCCTTTACACTAGCTACTTCTTTTTATTTTGATATAGTGTCACGAAACTAAACTTGAGATCTTCCTGCCTCAGCCTCCCAGAGTGTTGGCATCATAGGTGTGTGCCAACATGCCCAGCTGAAGCCCCTGCTCTTAATAACCATACACGTGGAGAAAACAGCTCCCATCTTAGGCTGGCTGCTGGACAGCCTCTCTGGCATTGTGACTCATTAGATTGTAAGGACGCAGTGAAAGGGTGCTGGAAATTCCTTTGTTTCCCCTGCAGGTCAGTGTCTGTCCAGCCATGTCACCTCGATCCAGAGGGCGAGATGGGAAGGCAGGACTCCCACCATGATGCCTGGTCCCCCTAGTCATTGGGACTGGGCTTGGGCCTTCTGGGGAAACAGGCTTTGTGTTCTTCAGGTGCTTAACTTGGAAACCCAATCTCCCAGGGTGGAACTGGGATCTTGAGTGGAATTTCTGCCAGCCCTGAGACTACGGCAACCAAGCACAAGGAGGAGGGCAGGGGGGTGCCCTGGCCTGGTATCCTGGGTGCCCTGGCCTGTCGGGGCTGCCACTGGCCACCTGTCACCTTGCTGGGCTCCTTTCACTGTCGCTCAGCCTGCCTGTGGCCTGTGTTTGGTGGGGTGTGGAACACCGAGTAGTAAGGCAGATTTGGGGCTGTCCTCCCAGTCTTCAGGGGCAGGAAGAAAGAAGGGCACAGTACTCACTTGTCTTTGGGGTCTTCAAAGCCCTAAAAGAGAAGGGGAGAGGGAAGTGTGAGAAGAGAGCCCTGCCCAGGTGCAGGCTCCCAGAGCAGCGGGCAGCTCCCCACCTCTGCAGGCAGTGAAGGCTGGATGCACAGGGCCGCAGCTCCTTCTCCCTCCCCACTTCCACTCTGGGCTCAAGCAATGCAGCCACCACCAGAGGACTGACACCTCCGAGACCAGAGCCAAGCCACCTCTACCCAAGTTCACTTTCTCAGGTGTCTGTCACCTGTCAAAGCTGACTAACGCAGCTGCCTCCATCCTCAGCCTAGACTCCCGCCACACAGGCTGGGGTGGGGCAGGAGGGACCCTGTTTTCTGCACTTTTCTGTGCTGGGAGAAGCAATCCACACCCAGAGGCGCCTTTCCTTCCCAGTTACAGCCCTCTGGCTGGCCCTTTCCAGGCCCCAACACCGACAATGATGAGTGCACCTGCCCAACCAGTGCTCAGTCCAGACTGCCTCCGTCCAGACTGCCTCCATCCAGACTCCAGGGTGACCTAAGATGCAGCTTGTGCCAAATGTCATTAAAAAATACCTTCCTGGGGACTTCAAACAAAGCACGTGACTTGCGACCTCCAGGCTCCGCGCCTGCTTGCCGGCTGCTCCCTTCTCTTTCTCCTCCCTCTCTGCCTCTCTTCCCCACTGCTCATCTCCAGCTTCCTGAAACCACCCCCTTTCCCTCATCCTGCTCTCTCCTCCTGACCACCCCTGGCATGGGGATCAGTCTGCAAATTATTCAAGCACTAGGACAACAACAGTGAGGAGCACCTGTTCTTGCTGTGGAGGTCTTCGGGGAGGGAGAGTGCTGGCTAGAGCCCTGGCAGCAATGACCAGGTGTGTGGATGCCCAAGTTCAACGCCCTAGGAGAAGTCCTGGCCTCTCCTATCTGCTCCCTCCTCACATCAGTAACCCCAAGGAGCTTGTCCATCATCCCCTGTGTCAGCTGCTGCTCACTGGCCAGCAGAGTGAGTGCCTGGGTGTCCAGCCCGTCCCTCCTTTAGGCCGCTGGCTCTCATCTGCTGGACTGCCATGGGGTCTGTCCCTCATCTCTTCACCCCACCTAAACCTAGTCGGATCCACAGATGCCACACAAAGTGGCCACACACCCTGTTCCTGGCACTGTCCTCCTGTCCTCCCCAAGTACAAGTGACTGCCTCTGGGAACACATGTCTTTGAGCTGAGCATGGTGCCCAAGACATTGGCCAAGCTCTCAAAAGAGAGACACACTGCTGCCACAGCCTGGCTTGCTGTCACCCCTTTCTCCCCCAACCCCCGGAATCCATGTTTCCATCATTGTTGGATGAGCCCAGCAGTGTGTCCCGCATTCGCCTGTGCTGCAATACACAGGGATGGCTGGGGCATCTCGGTGCCTGGAGGTGGAGGTGACATCTATATGCAGCCTAAACACTCCCACTGGAAGGCTAGAGTTAGTGGGAACTGGGGTGTTTCTCAGCATAGAGGGCAAAGGGGGACCATCTGGCACTTGCCAGAAGGCCCTGGGATGGTTTCTGACAAGCAGCGCCCAAAGAGGGGTTTTGGTGGCCTGGGAAATGTGGTAGATGCCGGACAAGGATCTGGCAAGCTGGTGCCTCCCTCCCCAGCCTCTCCAGACAGTGCCTAGAGGCAGCCAGAGGCTCTGGTGGGCCCCAAGTCTGGACAGAAGAGCCCACTCCCAGCCTGTGTCTGCAAGCTGTGCATAGTGGGGCAGGAGGACTGGCATTGGCACGCTGTTCCCAGGCCAAATTCAGCAAGCCACAAGATGGCAGGCCAGCATCAAGTGCGCCAGCTACTGGTCCTTAGTGGGTGACCCCACTTCTGCTTCTTTCCATGGCTCCCAGACTCTCTCAGCAACTCGGGGGTCTCAACCATTTCTCATGCCCATGAAGATCCTGACCCTGGGGCCTGTCACAGCACAGCGTCCACCAGCCACTCACCATCCGCTTCATCTCCTTGGACACCTGGTTGCCGCCTAGGTGGTTGTAGAAGGGGCGCTCAGCCCCCCAGTGTGGCGGGTTGTGCCCGATGGAGTTGGTTCTCTGGCGGTTCATCTTGGCGATCATAGCCTTCTCTTCTTTCTGGAGAGTGACAGAGACACATCAGCCTATAGGCAGAGCCGAGGGACAAGCCCAGGAAGAGAGCTGCTCTCATTCCCCTGGCCATCGAGGGTTAAGGCCCTCGCCTCTGCACAGCCCTGGAGCTGAGGGTCTGTCAAAATCCTTAAGCTCTCACAAGCTAGTAGCCCTGGCTGGACCAAGGGAGGCAGCAGGTGATGAGAGCACATCTGCTTGGCAAAGAATTCTCCCCACAAGTTTGATCACAAGAGCGAATCCTGGCACCTCTCAAAGCCAAGGTCACCTCTTCCTCCCCTGGGATGACCAAGTGCCAAAGCCCTGAGCCCCAGTAGCCCTCACTGAGCTTCTTCTCCTCCCCTCCTAGGATGAGGACTTCGAGGGTGGAGTTTGGGGTTGGGTCCCACTTCAGGTCCCCCAGCAGCTTGCCCAGTGCACACAGGCCTCCTGTCCTGCTTACTGGCAAGCAGTGGCATCACAGCTGGATGGAACAGGAGCTCAGTGCAGGGCTCCAACACAGTCTCAGGATGGGGCAGGGCCTGGGGCTGAAGGTACCCAGAATGGAGGGAGAGGGGACCTGAGCTCTGATCTCCATTCTGCTTTTTTACAACAGGCATGTTTAGGAGAGGGGCAGTAGGACAGGCCTGAACACGATGAAACTTCGGGGCTGACCTGACTGTCCAAGGACACAAATGAAGAATCGGCCAGCTACCCAGAGGCCAACCCTGTCCCAGTGTCTCTGCTGCCTGCATGCCCATCTGTCTGTCTTTCCATCCAAATGGGCACCTGAGGTGGAGAGTCGGCAGCCCTTGGCTCAACTCCCTCGTCAGATCCATCAGATGCAGGGCTGGGGGACACTCAGCCTGTTTCCACTGACACCTGCCACTCTGTCTGTCTCTCTAGTTCATCTTTTCTGAACCACCTGTCAACTGGGGAACCAAGCCCCAGGGAACAGGGCAGGTGGCAGAAAGCTGGGCTGGAGGGCCTGTGAACCAGGGACAAGAGAAGCAAGGTGGTAAAGAGCTCAGGAGGATTTCAGTCCATTCACATTCTGGCCAAAGAACAGGCAAATGTTTGCCAATGTTAATTGATACAGTTAAGCCACCCCAAAGTGTCCCAAAGTGTCCTAACTTCTCGTGCTCCTTCCTGCTCTCTGTGGAGAATCTGATGTGCTCCCTGCAGGACTTCTGCAGCCAGGATCTCTCCCTTGGAGGCACAGGGCCAAGTTCCCCTCAGGTGGACACCTGCCCTAACTGTCCTGCCTCTTCCTAAAAACCTATGGTCTCTTCAGTCTAACTCCTTAGGAAAAGAAACAGAAAGCTTTTCTCTACCAAAGGGTGCTGACCAACATTCAAGGGAAAGACTCAGAAGTAAAAGACAGTTTAATTTAGGGAGGAATATAAAGTGTTCTCTTCTTTGGCTTTAAAAATTAAGAACATGGAACATGACACTATTAAAAATAGAACACTGAAGTCTGCTAATAATTCAGTTTTATACTTTGGCAAGAGTGGGCTGAGACAAAAGAGGAAGAAGAAAGAAGCTAGAAAGTAAAAAGGGGGAAAGGCAGAGATTCAAGAAATAAAGTTATATAGATACAGGCTGGGATAGACACTGACGATATGACAGAGTGGGGGAGAGGGAAAGAGGGAGAGCCAGAGGGAGACAAAATCGACCTCGTAGGAGGCAGAAGAAAAGGGGAGAGGAGAAGATAAAGTACGCTGTGTACACAGATTCCTCGGGCTGCATCTCCAGCCTGTGGCCTTCTGGGCATTGTTGCTAACTGGTTTGAAGCCTCCCGCATTTCTGTGACAAAGCAGAATGAAGACGTTTCCCATCTGCCACCAGTCTTTGGAAGGCCTCTCACTCAGAGGTCCTTTCCAAGATGTGAGAAGCAGACTTTGCTCAGGGGTAGAGGGAGAAGAGGAAGCAGCAGGTCAGGAAAATGTTCCTCCCCCTGGAGGAGGGGAAGCAAAGCCCTGGCCCTGGCCCACAGACCCGCTTCTGGGTGCAGCGCAGGATGAGGAAGGTCTCGATGCTGTGTTCCTTGAGGTAGGCATTGCGCTCGCCCCCACAGCCTGGCTCCACCTCGTAGTCCCCGTTCAGGTAGTTGAGTGTGGCCTTGGTGATGTGGATGCGTCTACAGGTGGGGGCAAAAATATAAACTCAGAACTCCAGCTCCCCCGGCAAAACCGAACTGCAAAGCTCCTCCATCATGACTGAAGCCCAGGGCTCCAAACTGGGGCTCAAGTGTGCACCCCAAGCTTGCACTGCCTCCCTCCACACTGTCTAGGCAGCGGTTTCGGTTTCGGGCTGTCTCCATCTCCTGGCCCACCTCCTAGCAGGGCTGTTAAGTCAGTCTGCCGGGAACTTGCCTCAGGCCACAGCGACCTCTCACTCCTGCTCAGCCAGGGCTCCCGCTGACTACAGGTCTGAGTCCCGTCCTGGCCTGGTGTGTGAGCACCACTTAACACAGGCACATCCTCCCTCTCCCGGTCCCTTAACAGCCAGCCCTTGAGAATACTGTGTTCTCCCACACTACGGCCCTCCTGCTCGCCCTCCCTCAGCTGGAGCCTCTCCCTTCCTCTCCTGTGCCAGTCACCAGGGCCAGCTTGTGCTTCCCTGCTGTGTCCTGGCCACCCTGGGAATTGCCTCCCCTCTAGAACTCCCTTCTCCCCTCTCACAGGCCATCATGCTTTGGGTAACACCTGGAGGAAGGTGGCTAGCACAATGGTCCCTGCAACTCACCCTCCTGTGCGCAGTGCAGTATGCACAATTTGAGGTGTGAGGAATTTCTACTTCAATCTGCCCCCCACAGTGTGCTGCCCATCCCCCCCCCGCCCCACCTCCCGGGACAATTCCACCACGTGGGCCTGAGTGGGAAGTGGAATCTGGGCCCCTACTCACCCCGCCTTGCCCCCGGCCTCCATGTGGTTGGCCAGCGTGACGTCGTTAGACCAGACGTCGAACTGCCACTTCCTGAGACCAAGGACACCGCAGTGTACTCGCCCGCTGTGAATTCCCACACGCATGTTCACGTTCACCCCTGTCACCTCCCGGACCAACCTGGGGATGGAGCAGGGATAAGGCTGGGAGGGAGTCAGGGACCAGGCACATGGAGTGGGGAGGCTGGAAAGTGAGGCTGGGGTGTCAGAAGACTCAGGTCAAAGAGGCATTTCTTTCTGGTCCAGGTGAAGTAGAGCTGGGACCCGAAACCTGAAGGGTCTGGATGCAGGGGCTGCAAGTGCTCGGTCCTGGGGCTCAGGTGCACAAACCTGAAAATGCTATTTCCTACCTTGGCCACAAGGTGGCATGGGGACTCACAGTAAAACCCAAGGCCCCCTCCTGCCTCTCAGGTTACCTCTGGCTACCTTCAGTCAGTTAAAGAAATGCAAATGTACATTAATGCCAATTTGAACCCAACAGGAAAGTGATAACCACTCCAAACACCAATCACAATTGCTCTGTGGAAAAGACATAAGAGACGTTTGGATTATCTGTTCATTGGATTTATCCACACTGCTGCTTTGGCGTTAGGAGGACGATGGAGGCAAGGTGGTCAACTGGTTTCCAGGGAGGGGATTTTCCCTGCTCTGGAAGAGTGGGGAAGCCTGGGAAGGTGTGAGGGCTGGGGGTGCTGTGTCCTACAGGGCAGCCCCAGTCATTGCTACCTGCACACAGGGGTCCCCAGAAGATGAGTTGGGGCCTACTTATAATCTCCCATGCTGGGGAGCAGGTGACAGGGAAGAAGGGAAGCTGCACCTGTGTCTGGGACCCGAGGTCTGCAGAATGGGGTGCAGATGCTGCGGGCGGGGGCAGAGGTGGGCAGTTTTTAGGGACTGTGGCTTTCCTGACCCCCTAGGTGTGGGCCCACTCAGCCAGCTTTGCCCAGGAGTCTGGCTTTGCCTGGTGGCAGGACCACCCCTCTACCCTCTGCCTCCCAACCCACCCCCTCAGCGAGCTGACACCCACTGCAGGGAACTTGTCCATCCTGGGATCGGCTTGGGAAGTACCATTTCCGGGGCAGCCTCCTGTCCATGATGTGCCTTGCTTAGGATGACATGTCTCACTGTCTGTCCTCTGTGAAGCTTCTCTAAAGCCCTCAGTGAGACCAGCCATTCCTCCTCACAGCAGTTTGCCCCTCTCAGCAGGTCACGTGCACAGACACCCCTCAAGCAGAGCCTCAGAGGTCCCAGCTCTCACCTCGCTGTGTCTCTGGGCAAGGGACTTTCCGGCCCAGGCTGCAGGGGGCACTTGGTAAACAGAACCATCCCACAACCACGGACCAGGCCAGTTCCCTGGCCAGCTACTCTGACCTCTCAACTTGCCATCTGTTTTTTCCATCGCCCCTATTCAGGGTAATTCTGAAGTCCAAAATTACTGAATCTGGATACAGTCACTGCCTGCTTCCTTGGTTCATATATAAACTCATATATAAGTCCGCGTGACTCAATGACCAAGGCTCCTTTCTTGACCCGCAATGACCAAGAACTGGCCCAAGAACCTTGTTGCTGTTGCTCACAAGAAGGGGGGGATTCTCTCAAAATGGAACCCCTGTGTTTGAATCTTGTGGGCCTGCGGAGCTGTTCAACTCTCTCCCATCTGGGAGGAGTGCGGGGGGCAGCAGTTTCCTCCACCAGCTGGGAGTTTGTGAGCAGGCAGGAGGCACTGGATGGAGCACAGATTCCTCCTCACTGGGGGTAAAAGCTGCCCTGGCTGTTGGGAGTGAAGGAGCCCCAGAGAGGCACAAAGTCTGGAGGTGCAGACCCGAACTGGGGGTTGGGGCAAGGCCAGATGGGTCCCTGGGAGACAGCTTTTGCCTCACAGTTTCCCCACCGTTTCTCTATCAGTCCAGTTGGCTGGTCAGTCTCACTCAGGCTGGGGGACAGCACCCCCGAGTGGACAGGCCTGAGGTCGGCACTTACGAGATGGCCTCGATCATGTCCATGCCCATCTCCACACAGCAGTGGGCGTGGTCGGCCCTGGCCTCAGGCAGCCCTGAGACGCAGTAGTAACAATCCCCCAGGATCTTAATGCGTAAACAGTGATTCTCCTGGAAAGCAAATTCATTTTCATAATTAAAAATAGTGGGAAAGAGAAGTGGGAGAGACAGCAGTGAAAAGCAAACAGATTCGCCCCATGCCTGGAATAACTTGCCTTTTAGGGTGGTGAGCACTTATCCAGTGCTAGAGCTCCACCTGGCCCCAGACCAGGTTTATCAGGAGGCCCAGGGGAGGAGGGCAGTGGATGGGGGCAGGCTGAGCAGGCCTCACAGAGGCCTGGGAGCTCACTCTGAGACACTGCTGGGGTGCATGGCGGCTCTGTAACCAGGCAGCTTTGTCAGTGCAGGGAAGGCCACACACCTGGGTGTGAGCACCCTGGCCCTTCTCAGCGTCCCAGGGGCACATCTGACTCTTGGCCCAAGATTCTACCAACAGCTTTTCTGAAGCAGGCAGGAATGACCTTGAACCAAAACCTCACCTGACCCTCAGCCTGTATGAGACCTAAGAGTTCATTAAACCAGCGAACCAGTGTCAAGAAGCTGGCAGAGCTGAAGCACTTGCCACTGCTGCTGCCAAGTGACAGGTGCTACAGGGTCCCCCAGCAGGCCACCATCAATCCATAATTGGCATTCAGTTAGAATGTCATTAATCATCAATTATGACCAGCCCAAATCTGGCTCCCAAAGCTACTCCGCGAAGCCAGGACGGCTCTGAGATTCAAGTGCCTAAGTAACCTGGACTCATGTGAGATACATCCAGTGGCCGGGTACCAAGTGTGCCCCCATCTGCCTTGTTCAAGTTCAGGGGTGCAAGGCTACCATCAGACAAGCAGCAGCCTCGTGTGTGCAACCTGTCCTAGCATCCTATGTGGCAATGGCCACGGGCTGGGAAAGGAGGACAGTGTAAATAGGCACTTAATGAATGAACGTGTTGTTCCACACTCCCTGCTAGATCTTACTTCCAATTTGTCCAGATGTGGGGGAGTCCTCTTTCTGGAGGACTCTGGAGGTGGCATATGGCTCCCTGCAGGTCAGGTGGGGATTCGCTCTCATTGTCTTATCACTCTGGCCAACTTCATCAGGGATGGGACTGTGGCGTTTGATTTACTCCAAACAGAAACTCCACTGGGAGTTTGGACCTGGTGACCTGCAGGCCTTGCCACCCCCTTTCCTGCAGTAGGGTGGGGGGCTCCCCACACAAGCCCTCACACTGGTGTTGCCAGGGCTGATGGGGACATGGGGACACAGCCCCAGCCTGAGCAACCCCTCTGCCTGTCACCAGTTCCCGACAGCACCTCTGAGAGCACACTGTCATGTGCCCACCCTGGGTCCCTGACCATGGGGCCTTCCTTTGACGGTCTAGACCTAGCTGCCCTTTGGCCCCAGGTTGGGGTGACTCACCGCAGCGAGCTTGTCAAAGCGGGCGAAGAGCTCGTTGAGGGTCATGACTAGTTCCTGGGCAGTGCACTGGGATGCCAGGCTGGTGAAGCCCTCGATGTCAGCAAACAGGATGCTGGGGAGACAGCAGAGGAGGAAGACCCTGCTACAGTGTCTGGGTCCCCCAGATCCATACATCTCAGTGCCCAACGTCACAGGGTTAGGAGTCAGGGCCACTAGGAGGTGATCAGCCCACAAAGGTGGGGTCCTCAAGTAGCCAGATTAGTGCTCTTACAAGAAGAGACAGGGCACAGTGACGCACACCTATAGTCCCAGCGCTTTGGAAGGCTGAGGCAGGGAGTTCCAAGTTTGAGCGTAGCCTGGGCAACTTGGTGAGACCCTATCTCAAAATAAATAAACAGGGCTGGGGACGTAGCTCAGTGGAAAGGCCACTTCCTCTCTCCTGCTTCCCACTATGTGAGGATATGAGAAGACGGCCATCTGCAACCTAAAAGAAGGCCAGCACCCTGACCTCAGACTCCAGCTTCTACAACCATGAGAAGTCAATTTCTGCTGTTTACGAGCCATCAGTCTGGTCTTTTGACAGAGCAGTCTGCAGGGATTGAGGCAGACCCCGTGAGAGAGGGCCGAGGGAGGGGATGTCTCCAGGACCCACATGGGGCACCTCAGACCTTAGGAGGGCTGCTGGCCAGCAGGAGTCCTGGGGGCTCCAAATGGCTGCTGAGCAGCAGTCACCTCGGCCTGGAGAGCTGAGGATGCTGCCCAGGAACCCTGTTCCTGTTCTCCATTCTCTCAGCTCCCAAGAGGACAGGAAGGTAGAGGACATGAGGCTAAGCATGTGCCTGATGGGACCATCACCTTGCTGGCCAGCGCTTGACTGGCCTCTGAGCAGGCCAGGTGCTGTGCAGTACCACTTCCCAGGCCCACCCAGAAGGGACACAGGCCCTAAGCAGACCCCATCCCAGGAAGTCCTCTGGAGGGACAGCTGAGAGGCCCAGGGAGGAGGCAGAGGGAGACACTCCCAGCAGGTCCAGCAGGCCTCCACCCTCCTGGTCGGCTCGCTGGTTATGGATCGTTCATCCTTCTCTGTGGCTTCAAAATGTCCCTGAGCTTCAAAATGGTTTCCTTTTCCTTTTTTTTTTTTTTTTTGGTACCGGGGATCAAACTCAGGACTTTGCGCTTGCCAGGCAGACGCAGCACCACTGAGCTAAACCCCAGGCCCTTCCTTTTCCTTTGAAACAGACTTAGAGGAGAAGCCCCATGGATAAAAATGCACAAGGGCCCCTGGAGTTTGTCTTAAAGGGGGGACAGGAGTGTGATACTCTCCTGCTCTGAGACACTCCCGGTGGTCAGGCGCTGAGCTGCAGGCTTCTCACACCCTGAGTCCTCTAACAGCCGGGCAGATCAGGTCCTGGCGCCCTGGGCAGAGGATGCTTCCTCCAAGCCTGCGCTCTTCCCATCACACCCCTGGCTCCTGAATGCATTCTTCTCTCTTTTTTCCCCCCAAAAAAGTGTGTTAATGTATTAAGTATTATTTTTATTTTTATTGAACATTGACAAATTATGATTGTATTTATGGGCTGCAGAGTGAAGTATACATGTACTGTGATGTTGAAGGTTCGAATCAACTGAGGACGCACTCATCAAATACTTCACCATTGGCTCCTACTGCGTGAGCAAAGCCCTGAGCATGCACGCTGTTGTTCTGACATTATGACATCGGAGGTCTCACAGACCTTGCCAGGGTTAGACAACTCCCAGAGAGGGAGGAAACAATGCAACTTAGTGTGCGCCTTCCCATCTAAACCAACCAAGCAAGAGCTCCTAGAGACCGACGCCCCTGCCCTAACCATCCCATGGACAGGTTATCACATCGCCTGGGACAGCTCCCAAACCTCAGAGCTATGACTCTTCAAGGTGGCCAAGCATAATCCTCCTTTCCCCATCTCACCATACCTTTCCAAGGAAAGCTCAATGAAGTTCTATGTGTGTGTGTGGGGGGAGTCTCTGTCCCTTGCCCTCCCCTGCCTCCTGGGCGATCCTGGTGCCTGTGTGGCCTCATGTGACATGTCCCCTCCTCTTGGGGTCTGTAACAATCCTTTCAAGGGCAATCATCTCCTGATCTGTAGGCCTCACCGTACCGAATCGTAATAAAGCCTACATTTTAAAATGCACTACTGTAAGCTCTTCTCTGTGCTAACTCAGGCTTCACCAACCACCCCATGAGGTTCCTATCCTCTTACGGGTGAGAAAATTGAAATGCAGAAATGTTGAGTCAGGCCACATGGGCAACCTGGCTCCATACTCGGGAGTAGAGCCAGTGAATAGTACACTGTCCCAGCCACACAGCCATTGTCTGTAGGGGGTGGGAAGCAGAGGGCTTCGGGTGCACTGCTGCGGGTGGGCCAGGTTAGGTGCAGGACTTCGGGAAGGGGGCCGTTTTCAGCAGCTGCTCACCAGACACACAGGCACACTGCAGGGCGTGTGGAAGGGGGCAGGATCACCAGGGCACACAGCCCAGGGCTAGAGGCTGTCACCTGCCAGGAAAGCACAGGAGGGCAGCCCATGGCCAAACATTTCCACATCCTGGCTGCTCAAGTCCTCTGATCTCAGCCTGGGTCAGCAGAGACAACTGCAGAGGGGGAGAAATGGGGGACAGGGGAGCCCACTGTGCCTTTTCTCCTAAGTTCTGATGCCCATGTCTGCCTGGAGGATGGGCTCACCTGTCTGCCCACAGGGAGGCTGGGCAGGCATCCACAAGCTGGGGTGATAGCAGGCAGACCCCATCCTGCCCACCTCTCACCCTGGCTCTCAGTGGCCACCCCTCTCCACCCTGGCTCACCTAGCCTCTGCAAAGCACCTGTTCCACAGTTGTCCTAGAAATCCTTCTTGACCTCTCAGGAAATCAGAACTAAGAGAAGCTGGGGTCAAAATCAGCTGCACTGAGCCACAGAATAGGTCTGGCAAATGTCCCCTTGGCTGACATTAGTATTTCAAATGCAGACACCAGCCTCACTGGCCCATCCACCTGCATCTGAGGCTACACAGACTCCCCAGGGTAGGAAGAGTCAGGACTGCATGGCCCCAGGCAAACATGTCAGCATGCAGGTTACCGAATACACAGCAGCTCCCTGGGGCTGGGCCAGGGGACAGGAAAAATACATGGGTCTGTGGAGGTCACCAAGTGGCCTAGAAACCTGACCTCCCTGCAGATCCTGGGTGCCTTCCACCTGCCCCAGGCTCACACCAGCTGCCAAGGAACAAGAAGGCAGGTGGTCTTCAGCCAGCCAGGGAGGAGGCACTCAGAGCAGCGCTTCTGACCTGGGCTTAGAAGCTCAAGCCAAGTCTCTAGGTCCCATGGAACCCCCACAGACTCTGATGCACATTTGGGAAGCTGACACTCCCACATCCCCACCTCCTCTCAGAGGCAAAGTGCCATTCTCTGTCACTGTGGGGGGAGGACTCTGCTTGCGACTGTCACCTCTGGAGGCTCCTCTGCTGCACCAACTCTGCCCCCTCCCCACCAGCAGGCTGACTGTGCTGCTGGCCCGGGCTTCCTGCAGTGTCCTTGGAGACTCTGAAGGCCACTTCACAGCCCAGTATAGCCCAGGAAGGTGCTTGCTCACCAACTGGCTCCCACTTGAGAGCTCCTCTTGGCCACAGGACCAGGTCCATGCTGTTGGCCTGTCTCCCTTCTGTCCTGCCCTGTCACTGTCACTGACACCTGCCTGCCTTCTACTGCCAAAGAGGGAGCCCGAGGCTCCTCATCCCAACACCACCACAGGACCTCCTGCCTTCCAGGCAGTGACAGCTCAGCTCTCCCCACAGCCATTTCCTCACAGTTGTTCCTCCCACCGCCAGCAGAGCCTGCGACTTAATGAAGCTGTCAGCATCTGGCCCTTCTCCCGCATGCAGAGCCACATCCTGTGGCATCGCTGGACACCCAGGACTAGTGCCTGGGTGGCTGGCACTGCTGACAACTAGCTGCTCTGATTCCTTGTGGTCCTGGGCGTGACTAGGCCTCTCATCCTATACCCAAACTGGGCCAGGGGGCATAGGGATGTGTGGCAACAGCCCTCCTCCTAGGATGCTGCCCTGAGGACCTGGTGGTGCTGGAGAGCAGGGCCTTATAGGGCAGGAAACACTGTGCAAGTCCTTGGTGTGTGTGCTGGGAGGCTGGAGGAGCCGAGCCTCTACATCAGCAGCCACCTCTCTGTGCCCAGTAGAGCTATGCCCTGAGGTGTACGCTCTCCCTTTGCTCTACATAGTTCAGCCTGGAGAATCACTTGGGTCACTGGTGAGGTAAAGCAGAAGCAACAAGTCATCACATGCATTAGGTGAGTTAGCACCATCGGGTGTGACCAGACACCACAGGGCTGCTTTCCAAGGGGTGGTAGGAAACAGGTTAGAGAGGGGTACAGGAGCTGGCAGCAAGCCCAGGGCTATCTGAGAGCACCAGCTGGGAAAGGAAATGGGGGAGCAGCAAACGAGAAGGCACAAATCCCACCAACAGGAGCATCCTGCCTGAGAAAGCAGCACCCTCTACTCTCAGGGACAAGACACCTTCCTTCACCAAGTGGGGCCCAAGAGGAGGCACCCAGGAGCTTGGGGTCAAGGTGAGTCCACTTTGCTAGCCTTGCAGCCCTGTGCACACCCATCTCTCCATGACCCCAAATCCAACCTTTCCAACCCACACAGCTTGGACATTCCCCCTTAGTCTTGACAACCTGAGGAAACGCTCCCTAGACGAGCAGTCCCTGGAGGAGGAAGGCATTGCACCCATAGCCAGCAGTGCTCAGTGGAATACTGGGTGCTTTTGTTTTCTTTTCTGTACTGCTCTTAATTTTCCCATTTTTCTACAAACATACATCCTTTGTATAATAAAAATGTTTGCTTTTTACAGGTTAAAAACAAATCACACTTTTCTTGTAGGACTTGATTCTAACCCATCCTTCCTGATGTGTTCCCTGACTTACCCCAGCCCTGAAAAACCCTTCCTATGCCCGAATAGAATCAGAACCACAAATCACAACTGACTCCAGATGTGTCAAAGACACAGCCAGACATGCTCCATCAGCCAGTGCCTCTCTGTGCTGCCTCCTCTCCCACTCTGTC